CAATATTGATTCTTCCTATCCATGAGCATGGAATGTTTTTCCATTTGTTTATTTCCTCTCTTATTTCTTTGAGCAGTGGTTTGCAGTTCTCCTTGAAGAGGTCTTTCACATCTGTTGTAAGTTGCATTCCTAGGTATTTTATTCTCTTTGTAGCAATTGTGAATGGGAGTTCACTCGTGATTTGGCTCTCTGTTTGTCTATTATTGGTGTATAGGAATGCCTGTAATTTTTGCACATTGATTTTGTACCCTGAGACTTTGCTGAAGTTGCTTATCAGCTTAAGGAGTTTTGGCACTGAGATGATAGGGTTTTCTAAATACACAATCATGCATCTGCAGAGACAATTTGACTTCCTCTCTTCCTATTTGAATACCCTTTATTTCTTTCTCTTGCCTGATTGCCCTGGCCAGAACTTCCAATACTATGTTGAATAGGAGTGGTGAGAGAGGACATCCTTGTCTTGTGCCAGTTCTCAAGGGGAGTGCTTTCAGCTTTTGCTCATTCAGTATGATATTGGCTGTGGGTTTGTCATAAATAGCTTTGAACATCCCTTTCTTATCCAGTCACTTTATTCTAGGACAAAATTTATCATACAAGATTCTTTCTTTCCTAAAATTATTTCTCTTTAAGCTTTCTTACCAAAAAATACCACTTTATTTCTATAATTTTCTTTATATTTCCCTTATTTCCTCATTCCTTTTACCTTGTTTTATACATAACTTTTCAATACATTTTGAATTAGATAAAAATTATTCACCTTTTTAAAAGGACACTTTTTTTTTTAGAAAGAATGGTTTCATACAATATGTTTTTCTTGGAAAATACCCGAATAATGAAATACTTATTATTTAATTTAACTTTATATTCTCAATTATGACGAGTTTGTCCACAAATATTTATCCCATTACATTTACCTAATTATTTTATTTTAACTCTTTACCTAGATTATTTATGAAAACTGTAATAGCCATCATTTAAAGTTATGAAACTGCCATAACTGAGACAGCAAAAAAGATCTGAGCTAGCTGACTCCATCTTGCTTCTAGCCTCCAAACTGTCCTTGTTCATTCCTGGGCATAGGCTGAACTAACTTTGGGGGGAACTTAGTTATAGTTTAGCTTTGAAACAAAGATTATAACAGTCCTTTTCCAAAACAAACCTCCTTCCTGCCTTTGGACTAGACTGCGTAAAGCCATAAGGTTAGAAGTTATGGTAATTTTACTACATAATGCAAGATGTAGCTATTTTCATTAAACCAATATTAATGTCTTATTTATTAAAGATTAAACAAGCAAAGATCATTCTGTTTTGGGCTGGGTTTATAGTTTTGTAACCCCTATGCCAAATTTTGACATCTTATGGTATTTGACAGGGATAAGTATAAAATTGCTTGATTAATAAATCCAAACAAAAATGTATGCTGGCAATTTTTTTTTTCAGGGCAGTCATTACTTAATTTTTAAAACTCTTACTTAAATTTGCAATATTTTAAATCAACATCACTTAAAGTAGTAATCAACAGAGGTTAGGAGAATATAACAATACTCTTTCTCTTAGAAAATAACAGCAAAAATATAATTTTTTACAGTTTTTCTCCCAAAGTTTTCTCTGCAGTAATATGCCTTACTCACCTTTACAATAGGTTTGTTGTGAGAATCATGTAGTGTAAACCCTGGGCATTCTATGAAGCATTTTTAAACTTCTAGTTTACACCCTACTGACTCTTATTCAAGTGTTTTTAAAAATATACTTTAAAAACTGGCCAGGCGCAGTGGCTCACACCTGTAATCC